CATACAGTGTTGTGTGTGGGTACTGATTATACATTCATATCGTGTTGTGTGTGGGTACTGATTATACATTCATACAGTGTTGTGTGTGGGTACTGATTATACATTCATATCCTGTTGTGTGTGGGTACTGATTATACATTCATACAGTGTTGTGTGTGGGTACTGATTATACATTCATACAGTGTTGTGTGTGGGTACTGATTATACATTCATATCGTGTTGTGTGTGGGTACTGATTATACATTCATATCGTGTTGTGTGTGGGTACTGATTATACACTGTATGAATGTATAATCAGTACCCACACACAACATGATATGAATATTGCACGTAAGCAAGAAATATAAACTTAACTTTTATACTTCTACTGTTTTTGTTTCGTTTTTTCACAGAATGTTTGCGCAAACCAATATAAAGTGCCATATATTTGATGAAAATTACGTAATTATTGAAAACAACAATTTTTTACATGATAATTGTTTGTGTTCGGATATTCGCACAAAGCCGTTCAAGGCACATCTGCACTAGCCATCCCTAATTTTGAAGTGATAGACTAGAATGAAGGCAACTAGTTAAAATCACTGACTGCCAACTCTTTGACTACTCTTGTTTGACAGAAGATTTAACGCACCCATAACCCTAAAGTGCGGAGAGTTATTTTTTTGGCAGTAACGGGACGCGAAGTATGGATCATCAGGTTTAGAATTCAGCAGACTAAACACTAGGTCATGCTCGGCCACTAATTAATGATGATATTAAAGAAGCCGGAAATGTGATGCTGTATTACATCTGGTCTTTCTTTGATCAGAGTGAATATTTCAGAGTACATTCTGTGTATTACATAACCTTGTTTTATAAAGTCATAAAATGCTTCCAGGCACATTAATCCCAGCAAGTTTCAGTTACGAAATGCTCAGGAATTTAAACTTCGTTGGTTGTTAAGAATCAACAAATAACATCATTACGAAAAATAGTTTGAGAGTTCTTGAAGAAATTTTTACTTACGCCGATATATCTTAGACCGAAGAAAGGGCTGTTTGTGCGAAGACAACAACAACAACTTTACGAGCTGTGGAGAGAGTTGTTAACTACCTGCATCTGTAAAAACAAATAATATACCTTTTTCCTGAGAGCTCACGGAAGTTACTTAAAACTATGATTACCAGTTGCTCCCCAGTGACACAGCGGTACGTCACTAGGTTTATAACCTCAAAATTGGGTTTCAATTCCCGTGGTAAGCAGTACACAAACAGTCCATTGTATAGTCTTGCGCTTAACTACAAACAAACTATCAGTTCTGACACCGTAATTTTCAAATTAATTATTCTCCGTCAGGGGTGGAAAAGGAACAATGCTTGTCCAAGGACAATTTTGCAGATATTTATATGGTTTGGGACTAATTTGAGATGTCGAAGCAATAATATTGGATATAAGAGTATTTTATATCTCACATTGTCTAATTGAAAACCTATGATTACATATTCAGGTAATCCAACATTCTTCGTTAAGGTTTTCTAACCCAACTTGTTGTTGTTGTGAAAGAGAAGCGCCCTCGTAAGGTAATCCAACATTCTTCGTTAAGGTTTTCTAACCCAACTTGTTGTTGTTGTGAAAGAGAAGCGCCCTCGTAAGGTAATCCAACATTCTTCGTTAAGGTTTTCTAACCCATCTTGTTGTTGTTGTGAAAGAGAAGCGCCCTCGTAAGGTAATCCAACATTCTTCGTTAAGGTTTTCTAACCCAACTTGTTGTTGTTGTGAAAGAGAAGCGCCCTCGTATTACGAATGCATGACTTTTTTTCTAAGTGTCGTACATGCAAATTAAGTTGTACTTGGTGAATTAGTTGTTCAAGCGAATGCTCAATAAGGTTCTGAATAAATTTCCATTATGCAACTGTTTTATACTAACTTCTGCAACATTTATAAGTCTTTTCGGATTTATATAGATTCTCTTAAGTGACGATAGTGTGTGAATTCAATTTATCTATTATGCTATGTGTGTTCAGGTTATCTGTAGAGTCAAACAATACATTGCAAGCTCATTTTATTATATTGTCCAACAAATACGTGGACGGATGATTCATTACTATGAATAGAAATGTATTTATTTTTGTACGAGTTAGACAATTTTGTCCTAATAAAAAAGATGCTTCTTATATTATTAAGTTACTGAATAGGATACTTCATCAGCATTAAAATTCACATCTTAGATTAAAATTAAGTTTATAATGCATGGCAAAAGCTGACTGGTAGGGGTATAAGTTAGTCTTCAAATAATTACAATTAACTGAAGATCGATCTCTTAAAAACTGAACTACTCCTGAAATATGTTTAAAAGACAAGCCTCTCGCTATGTAACGATGTTGTATTAATATTTAACTTTGTGTTTTTTTGGTTCAATGCTACACGAGGAAGAGTAAAACTATAAGTCTTACAATTCCTTTTTTTTTTCTTGTACAGGTGAAGATTATGATCAAGGGCCATTGGCCCACAATCAACAAAAGTTCAATGATAGACTCGTTAGGACACCTGATGACCATCAGCAATTTGAGACACTTGTACGTTCAACTACATCAACTGATCACCAGTGTCATCCACCTCCTGCAGTTAAAGACAGTCTTGCTGATGACGTCGGACATTCACACACAGTCGTTAATTTTAACATAAGGAGAGACAGAAGCCGCGAGATTGACACCAAACCATTGTCGAACGCTTGGAAAACAGCATTAGGCGTTGCATCAACTCACTCGACCATGAATAAGGAACGAAAGAGACTCGTTCGAAAGGGCCCAAAAATTGTCGAAAGGCCAGTCCGTGCGCTCATGTGCTTGAACTTGAAGAACCCTCTTCGGAAGTTATGCATTGATATAGTAGAGTGGAAATATCCTTTTTTTTTACACCTTCGTATATACACACATTTTTTTAGTCTGTTTAGATTTTACAGATAATTCATTTGGATTATGTAATTGTTTATGAAGTATACAACTTGACATCGGGGTAGCAAACGTTAGCAATTGATTTCCCCACTAGACAGCTTGGCCGCTTAAAGTAATGTATTTCTGAAGCTAAAATTTATGAAAAAGATGATATACTAGTGCTATGCCAAACGATTGGAACATTTTATTAAGATAACGGTTTGTTTGTTGTTAAGCACAAAACTAAAAAATATGTACTCACCACGGGATCGAAATCCGACTTTTAGCGTTATAAGCGTTCAGACTTACCGTTGAGCAACTGGAGGGCTGATATAGAGGACAGGTTACTTAGTGCCCTTCAAGAATCACAAGTATAGTACTGCTAAGAGATTTAAATCACCGTGGGTGTTATTTTTTTCCTTGTTTGTGTATTCAGGCGAAAACGTTTAAAGATAAGGTAAGCAGTAGCTGGGGTGCAGAACTCACGATTAATATTGATATTTTCATTGCGATGATTAAAACCTCATTTGTGAGATTAGTCAGGCGTGGTTTCCAAGAACTTCATCTTTCAGTTAATTAACCCCATTCTGAAACTGTTACAGGAATGACCGTTAATGCTGTTCGGTGTGTTCTGATTTGACCATATTTTAGTAGAGAAAGAAACACTTACAAGGTAAAAGAAATCAAGTTAGTGCACTATAAAAATCAGTTTATTTGTTGTTTTTAGGGGGTATATGTATTATTTACTTATAAATATAGCTATAAATAATAGTATAGTTAATATGCATTACAAATTAACTAATTGAAAAAAAAATCTATAGATCTTGGCAAAATGTTACTCCATCCCATTTACTGCACCACTAATAATTTATATGTTCTGTGCTGTGGCTTATTGTGCAGTTGTTCACACATTTTAATGATAATGGAACACCATAAAGAAACAGGCATTATTTATTTGTTTGTTCTTCTTTTTCTTTTTTTCAATAATAACTGTCCCCACCCCTCGAATAAATAAAATCAAGGATAACGGTTGTTGCTTCACTGTTGAGGAACTAAGCTTCTGGACAGTATTGGAAAGTCCCAAATTGTTATTGTATAAGGATAGAGTAATAACATTTTTGAAGACATATTTCAGTGTTTTTGCTATTCTTGAGCGTTTTTGACAACCATGTGTTTTGTTTAATAACTTCCTTTTTAGACATATTTCAGTATGTTTTGTTGTTGTTCTTGAGTGTTACTACCGAGAACTATACAATAATAATGTATTAAAAACTAACCCAATTCCTTTTCAGGATAAAATCTTCTAGCTTGTTTCATCACTTATTTTACTTTATATGTTTCTTGATGGCGTGCTCCAACATTGTAAAGTACTTCAGAAAAACAAAATTATTATTACAGTGGGTGATTAATTGTTGGAATTCATTTAAAAATGCATTAACCGACTCTACATCAATATGGGCATTCTGTAGCTTAACTAACGACATTTTGTTCGGAAAAAGTAAAGTACGATTCATGTTGGAATTAATTTTATCTTTTAGCCTATCACTCAAAGTAATGGCGTTACCTACTTCTTCAAAGTAACTCACGCGATAAACTATTTCGTAACATAAGCACTGAAGTCAAACGGATTTTAATGGGATGGCCAGTCGTGTGGGGTTGTCATCATCTCAGATCAAATATAGAGCTATTATTAGCAAATAAGGTGTTAGGTGAAAATGTTGAAAAGTTCAACTTGACAGAATGCACGTAGAATTAAGTTCTTGGCTAACCGATTTATCTTTATGCATCATAATTCAATTTCAAGTGAATTTGATAATAAGAATATTACCACCAGGTGTCATCGCACTCTTAGTCATTTCTTTCACTGATTTTGAAAATTTTGTGTTTGCTTCAATTCAAATTGTTTCATTTGAAATTTTTGAAAGTATAAAACTTCCAATAGACAGAATTGCCGTGACTTGGAAACTTTATATGTATAATAATATACTTTTTATTTAGTAAACCTGCCGCTCAGATTGAAAAGAACATACTCTAAATCCGTAAAGATGATTTCTTTGACAAAACGTGTACCTTTGTGTTACTAATTATGAAGTAACATATACATTTGAATAAAGTCTCGCAGTTGGTACTTACAAGTTTCAAATAAGTACTAAATTAAAAGTTTTCTCAAACACTTTTATTAATGGTTATAATACTTTGTATGTGATTATATAAGGATGATTACGTATATATATATATATATACTGCATGATTTGTAAGCGTTTATTATGTGCTCTGATAAGTCGTTTATTGAACTATAATTCAGTCTTAATGCATGAGATATTACACGCCAGAAAATCAAGCTTATCAATACGGCAAACAAGCAACGCTTAGTTATCTTGATAATTGTCTCTCATAGAAGCTTATCTCAATAGTCAGTGGAAATGTAGGATCTGTACAGCTAATTATCCCTGCATTATCTTTGTCGGAATATTTCTGGACAGTTATTCAGTACGTCACATAGACTTGTAGCACGTGACACAACAGTGCATATATGTATAACGAGGATAACTACACGTCAGAGAAAAGAAGTGGTACGCACAGTGTACTATAATTATGTTTACAGTTGGTATGAGTCGAAACTTCACATGTCCGTGCTATTTGGTGGCGCCCAGTAGTCGTGTCACTTCTCGCTCTGCAAATTAGGCTTGAAAGTGATTGACCCACTGATTAAATGTAACACTTGTGTAAAGTCACGCCTTTATTACAGTGGAGAGTGTGCTTACAACATGCTTTGCTCATCTTTTATATTTCTAGGGTTATTTGTACTACCAAGAAGCTCACGTGCTGTCCAAGAAGGATATAAACTCTGCATAAGTCTAACATCATAACCGTAACCTCATTGCACTTATTGCATGCGTACGTTACACCTAGTGTTATTGATGCGACATAATATTATTGCTGCCTTGATTAGAAGCAGAGCTCGATGTTCGTGACTCACACAGCATTAATTCATCTATTTCTCATGCAGTAATATTCATATTTTCCATGACTCAGAATATACACGTTTCTTTTAAAACGTTGACTTCTGTTGCTTTAATAAGTGTAATTAAAGAAACGATGATTCACTCCCTTGATTAATAAAGTAATTTGTTTTAAGCGTAATCTAATGATTGTAGTAATATTTTTGAAGTATAAGTGCCACGCATAATTACAATACGTAGGTTAATTCTGTGTCGGTTTAATTATTATTTCCAGGAAAGTTACTGTATTCTTCTGTCTTTGTCGAACAGGGTTGTGTAACATTTATTTATTTCACAACTATAAATTTCCATTATACGCATCTCATAGATTGAGCCAATGCAGTTTTTTATTTTTTTTTTATTTGTAATTTTTAACAATGTTTTTGGCCCAGCATGGCCAGGTGGTTAGGGCGCTTGACTCGCAATCTGAGGGTCGCGGGTTCGAAACCCCGTCCCACCAAACATACTAGCCCTTTCAGCCGTGAGGGCGTTATAATGTGACGGTCAACCCCAATATTCATTGGTAAAAGAGTAGCCCAAGAGTTGGCGGTGGGTGGTGATGACTAGCCCTCGTGTAGTTTTGCGCGAAATTCAAACCAAACCAAACACTCCAGCTTCGTATCTCAAATTATAACATTCACACACTTTAATAGTCGTCAAAAAGTGAGCGACTGTCTATTTTACAAATGATATCAGCTCTAAGTGCAGAACGCGTTCGGCAACACATCGCATGCTCAAACATCAGACCTTTCTATCCGCAGGTCTGGATGCTAACCACAAAATAATTTCTAAGATAAACTACACACAGAGAAATATGCACTTTAAACAATTGGACTTACGAGCTTTTGTAACGTAAGACATTGCTTTAATTAGGCTACAAATGAAAATGTACGCTATAGATATACACAGAAATGTGTAGTGAAAAGAAATATTAAAGAATAATAAAATGAATGAATAATGAAAATCTGAATAAAAGTTTACTATCTATATACACATGTGTTAATTATTGTAATGAAATGCTATATTTGTTATATAACTTGTTGATCTATATACTATCTATATACACATTTGTTAATTATTGTAATGAAATGCTATTTTTGTTATATAACTTGTTGATCTGATAATTTGGTCCTCGATCATTTTTTCGAGTGAAACTTGGGAATATAAATTTACATCAGTGTTTAATTTTCCCTACTGAGGAGCACTTGATTATTCAGAAACAAAAGTTCAATAAAACTGTTATTTACCTTTTTCATATTTTTGTATAGAAGTTGTTTCGAAGTACATGTATATTTTTTTCAAGTAATCAATACCGTGTGTGAAACATTGCTATCTACGTGAATTTAACGAATTTTTGTTTCTTAATGAGATGGACTGGTACTAAAACATGAAGTTGGGAATATTTTACCATTAATCATGTAAAATCATGAAGCCTTATAAAATGAGAACATTGACTTTCCCCTTGTAGTTCAAGCGGCATTGCATAGCTCAACTCCCCTATACAAATAGAAACGGGCTTATTGCTGTGCGTTTAGTATTTTTTGAGTATTTCACGTAGTGCTGCTTCAGTAAGTAATACACTTAATATTGGTTTAGTACTACGTTTAGTATTGAGTCAGGAGTACACTTAGTATTGTTACTGTTCTTGAGCGTTACTACCGCGAACTATACAACGCTAATGTATTAAAACCTAACCCAGTTTCTTTCGAAGCCAAAATCAAAATCTCCAAACTTGCTAAATCATTTATTTCATTTAATAAGTTTCGTGATGGCGTGCTCCAACATTTTAAATTATTTCAGAAAAACAAAGTTATTATTACAGTTGGTGCTTAATAGTTAGGACTCATCTAAAAACGCCAAGTATCATTACATTACATAGTTAATTCTGAGTTGGCTGTCTGTATAATTATTTCCAGACAACCTACAACATTTCTTCGTCTTTGTTGAACAGGGTATTGTATATTTTCCAACTTTAAGTTTCCAGACAACATTTCTTCGTCTTTGTTGAACAGGGTATTGTATATTTTCCAACTTTAAGTTTCCAGACAACATTTCTTCGTCTTTGTTGAACAGGGTATTGTATATTTCCCAACTTTAAGTTTCCAGACAACATTTCTTCGTCTTTGTTGAACAGGGTATTGTATATTTTCCAACTTTAAGTTTCCAG